AATTAAGACAGAGTTGTAATTTCATCCTGCTTTTGGTTACCTACTGGGGAGGAGGGTATCTGCAAGCCCAGCCTTTAGTACAAGAAGACCCCTGCTGGAAAACTCAAGTTCCATGTGCCTTCTTGGGTTCCTACTAGGCTTACTAGAGGTAAATGTCCATCAATTTCAACTGCCATACACTATGGAGATGAAGCATATGAATAAAGATCTACTATAATATTGCCTTCCTTTAGTTGGAATACTAATTTTGGGTCCTTCACTGGTATAATTTAAAATTGGATAATTCTTGAGGTGAATACTATTAAACCTATTCTGTGCTGCAATAGAAACACATATTTTTCCCCCTCAAAATGTCATTTAAGTCCATGAACAAGCACATCTATTAGAAAACATTTTGATTCCTGTACTACCACTTCCTTTTAGGTAATAGTGATATTCATAGGCAAAGTGAATCTTTCTTAAGCTCTTTGTTATAAACGTGAACACATCTGATTTGTTCACTGTGTCAACTTTCAAGCTTTTACTCCATGAGGTTACTTTGGCTGCTGATTCAAAGCAAGGAAAATCTGGACTATTTTAGAGAGGGTATGGGAGGGAAAGAGGAAACAATGTCTTTCAAGCATTTGTAATATGTCTAACCAGGCAAAATGTTCAGGAAGATTCATAAGCATTTCTTGGATGTTCAGAGTAGAAATCAGTCAAAAAAACATATGCTGAATGTCCAATATATGCCAGACATAGTGATTTACACTATTGGAAACATATGGTAAAGGTATTTTCTTCCATTTAAAAAATCTGTCCCCCTCCTGATGTAGCAATGGTAGCAATTACAGTAACTATGGCTGGGCACCTCTGTGCCCACAGAGATGGTACTGACTGCAGTCAGTGGCTCTCAAAAGTCTCTTCTGTGTGACCACTAACACAGAGGAGAGGAAACTTTCTCCTCAAAAGGACCTGAGTGAGGTGCTGTCGTTTCTCCAGACACCAGTTCAAGCTAAAATTCTCTGAATTCCTTTCTTACAGCTCCTTTAAAAGTCTGCATTCTTTTCTATTCCCTAATAGCTCACTTTTGGTTTTCTTTGCACATTTTTTGCAAGTAAATATTTAGTAAATAATTTTTTAAAAAATGTTTAACACAATGTAGGGTTCAGCAAGAAGTGTGCTATATTGTTTGACAAATGTCTCCTCATTTGATCCTTCAATTGTTTTTTACTTGTAAAATTAGATAATGTATCCTTTCCAGCTTACATTGGTTCATGATTACTATTGGTGGAAGATCATTAACTAGAAATTATGACTTATTGTTATTTTTATATCACTATGGGGCTTTCTACATGCAGAGCGTGAGAAGAGGAGGCCAAGCCTGGTGACCCAGAACAATATCCTCCCCATGTCTGCTGGGACAGAGGGGTGAAAGGAAAGGGCTCTTAGCCAAAAGAGAGAATGCTGCTTTGATTTATTCTGGTTTGATGAAGCCCAGATCCTTCTCACCATTTCATGAAAACAGTAATAGATAAAGTCAGATGCTTACGTGACATTTTTATGGGTGAATTCATATAATTTCATAATTCCATATGTACATATTTACAAAAATTTCAGGTAAAGCAGAAACCTTGTTTAATTTACTGTTATGTTCTTAACCATCTGAAACCATGTTGATTGATTAACAATTATTGTCTTTGTTAATAATATGACATAAGAAAAACAGATAATTTAGGTAAATTCAACTGTGCAGCTAGAAAATAATTTTAAATTGATGTTTGCTTCTGCTGTTTACCTATGTGATTATATATACTCAATAACTCACATTTGATTGACTTGATCTAGGCAACATGGATAAAATAAAGGGCTCAATTTGTACATAATCAAAAAGAAGTTGAGAAGGGCAAAAATTTATAAATCAATAGTAGACTATACCTTTCACGGGATATTAGTTTGATACAGACCACTATTATAAATGCAGTGATGCTAAAATAAGTTAGACTCATTGTTCTCTTCTACTCAGATATCTAGTACAGAAGTGTGAGATAAAATGCTGCCATCACTTTCTACTTTCAGTTTTTCTTCTCTTTGTACGGCAGCTACTTAATAAAATGGAGTCATGGAAAGACAGTGTGGCCTTCTGTAGCTCATAAGAATTGTTAAGTGTAACCATAATTCATATCAAGAATTCATATCGGGCAGGCTCAGCAACCTTGCAACTTTGCATTGCTTCAGTCAAAACTATGTTAAGATCCTATGAAATATTATGAGTTGTAGTCTGCATCTCTTATAAATGAGAGAAATCAGACGCAGAAGCTTAAATATCACTTTGAAAATATCACGAGTAAAAAGGAAGAGGAAAAATCAAAGATACGGTAGAGAAAAGGAAATAGGGAGATAGGTCATTCTAAAGGGGAAGGGACTGGATAGGGAGAAAGTCCAGCACTGGAATGGCACATACAAGGTCCTGGGTTCAATCCCCAGCACCATGAAAAAGTCAACAGGAAACCATGAAAAAATGATCAACCAGGAATGTGATCAAGACAAGAAGTTGGAAGGGAAGGCATCAAGCTTGAGAAGATTTTGCTCATGGGCAGTGTTTTCTGCACAGTAGCAAACACTGTTGCTAGGAGCATTCAGGATTTTTGAGGCTCCACTGGTAAAAAACAACTGGAAACTTGTCCTTAAAACTCTGATACACTTATTCATGTAACTCTTTCTTTGAGTAATATTAATCTGTCTCCTTTTGCGATGATCAACTATGTCCATGAATGTAATAAAAAAGAATATTCAGCCCAAACATTGACAGGAATTTATACTTTATGAGAAGTAGACTTTATAGTTTTCTGAATATGAGATCTGTCAGTGGAGGATAGGGGGAGTAGTTGTCAGTTCAGTGCACAGTTTCTGCCCTTCCCACTGCATGCCCTGGCTCTTTGAACCTTCTCTGGATCTGAGGGCTGCCAGGTAGTGGAATCCTTTAGTATCTTTTTTATTTTCCCTCTCTTTGAGTACATTTTAGGTATACAGTATAGTTACATCCCTCATTGGGATCTTGTACCTTTACATGACAGGTCTTGGTTCTCATTTTTTCCCCTGGTCCCTGCCCTCCCTTCACTCCCTCCTCCCTTCCCTATTTACAAATACTTTATTTCCATTTTTTCATATTTTTTTTCTTTTCCCCTATTACCTTTCCCCTGCCCTTCCCACTTCCCCTACACCTTTAGCCCCTTTCTTCCTATTTCATATTATCATTTATATCATTAGGATCTTATGTACCATTATAGTATTTCACACAGGAGTCCTTTATTTTCCTTGGTCAAATTTAACCTGTCAAAGGGTTTTCTTGTTTTAATATTAACTATGGAATAGTAACTGAAATTTTATTCCAATGTCATTAGGAATTGGAGATGTTTCTTTCTTTACTTTTATATCTGTAAGTAATCTTCTACTTGGTGTGGTGGTGCCTGTAACCCAGCTAAAGGAGGCTGAAGCAGAATGGTCACAAATTCAAGGCCAGCCTGGCCAATTTAGGGAAGCCTTGTTTTAAAAATGTTTAATTCCCAGGACCACACATACAAACACACACATTTAATATTTTTAACGAAATTATTTTTATTATTGTTTGCGAAGCAAATTATATTTTTAAAATTTTGCCTTCAAAACAGCTAACAATAATTTGAACGATGAAAGCAAAAATTCAATGGTTAGCATTTATGTGTAAAAATAAGTGTCAGGAAAACAAAGTTCATCTGATGATCTAGCCTAAATTATACACGGAAGTATTATAATTTGTTTTTACAAATTTGAAGAACAGTAATTAATCTTAAAACAGTAAGGTGCAAAAAACAAAACAAAACAAAACAAAACAAAAAACCATATCAGTCTTGAGTTTTCCAATCTCTTTTCACTGATTTGGTACACACAGTAAAACTCACAGGGGCCCAGGATCTCCTGATGGACATCTCTGCCAAAACACAACCCTGGTGGAAAAGAAGCAGAGAGTTCTCAGCACAAAGGATGGAGCTGACCTCCCTGTTGCCAGCGGGTCAGGAGTGCAGAGAGAGGCAGCCCTACTTGGAGGCCCAAAGCAGCTCTAGGTGCCTGTTTCAGTAAGGGATGAGGAGCTACCATGAGCCCTCCTGCCTGCAAGGTCCTCAGGAGTGCTCCTTTGCCCCATTCCAGTCCGAGATCTGCTCCTCCCTCCCTGCAGACGCTTTCCACAAAGGAATCAAGATGGCAGACTCAGAACAGACACCTCCCCAAAGGTAGTCAAGGGAATCAAGGCTTACAGCCATCCTGACACACTGGCTAACAGGCCAATTGGCTGCTTAATAGATTAGGACAGAATGTGTTCCTGGGGCTGTACACGTAGAAGAGGGTCTTGACAGTCTATTTTGGGTTCTGTGGACCTGGGCTCCCAACCAGTCTGCAGGGACACGTGCATGGCAGAACAGGCAAGGAGGGGGCCGTAAGGCAGAGTGCTGAGCTGTAAGGAGGGCTTAGAGGGGTGTCACGCGGGTCCTTGAGGTCAGCCCCGACTCCTAGCCTTTGGAAACATAGGCTGAGCTTGGGTCTGCAGGGCAGGCAGTGCACAGGGTTGGGAAGGGTGAAGCATGAAGCCACCGTGAGGGCTTTCCTGGCCCACTGTCGGGAGGAGCAAACTGCCCCAAAGCACCGGCCACATGGGCAGAAGCACTGGACCAAGGCCCCACCTCTGCCCCGTGGGCTCCCACAGGTCTCTGACACGGCCCTTTGTCTCCTGCTGGTGGACACAGGTCAGCGGCTACTTCTCTTAGAAGTCGCTGACACCCCTTTCCCACGGACAACACCCCTGTCAGATCCTAGCGCAGACCTTAGGAAGGACCCAGTGCTGCCCAGAGAGGCCTCGCAGGCCACGGGTTCCCTCGGGCAGGCTCCCGGAGCGGGACCCACGGCGTCACCTCTGCGAAGCCCCGCCCCTCCTCGCGGTCCGGGACCTGGCCACGCCCCTCACGTTCCCGGCCTGGCCACGCCCACTTCCGCTGCCGACCCTCGCTGGTGCTGCAGTGCGGTGCCCAACTCCTGGCGCGGCCCGGCTTCACACTTCTTCCATGACCCGGCTCCCTCGGGTTGCGTTTGAGGTGAGGTGATGTGAAGGCCCCTGAGGCGGCCACGCTGTACCCCTCTTTTCTTTCGTGCCCCAACCCGGCCGCACCCACTGCTGTGGTGAACGCCCGCCCGTTTCCAGGCCGCGGTGCCTTGCTTACGTAATGGAGAGATTGTCTTCTCATTTGCACCATTACCTTAATAAATCTGTGGTGGAAAGTAAGTCACATGTTTTTGGTATTAATATCCATCCAACCCAGAACTTATCTCCTGGAATCACGATCGATTTATTTCGGTAGGTTGCAGCTTCTCTTCTTCGTCTCTAAATGTAATTTTACAAAAGCCTTTGACATCTAACCATCTGCAGCCTTGTCTCGGAGCTGAAGTAGCTTTCCCCGGTGATGGTCAGTCAGAACATGGCCCACATTGGAGCAGAGATGACAGTGATTGGACTTAGTGTCATAAAAACCCTTTCTGCCAAGATTGAGCAATAACAGAGATTTAGAAAGCGTGGTTCTTAGGCTAAGTGTATCTGGAGCTTATTGTCAAGTTTGATATTTTCTATTTCTTAGGCAGCACCCTAAACATTACAACGTTGCCAAATAATTATAGTCTATAAGCATATATAAAACAAGCCAATAAGAACAAGCCAAATTTAGTCTGTTTAGTGGAATTGAATTAAGAAAGAGTAATCAAGTTAATGAAAGAAAGCCAGTATTTTGTGAAGCAAGCTTAGTTTTTTCAGAAAGGTATATCAAACGCATATTTAAGAGTCTCTCTCTTTTTTTTTTTTTTTTTTTAATGAGTCAGGGTCTCACCTATGTAGCTCGGACTGTCCTGAAACTCATTGTGTAGCCCAGGCTGGTCTCGAACTCGGAGTGATCCTCCTGCCTCAGCCTCCCCAGTGCTGGGATTACAGGTGTGTGCCGCCATGCCTGGCAAGAGTCTCTTTTTTAAACTGGTATGAATTATCATTTGGAAGAAAGCATGTGATTTATTAATGGCAATACCAATAATTATAGTTTAGTATCACCTTTAAGATTTTGTTGGCACATATGGAGAACAGTACACAATTTTGAGTATAGTGTGCATACATTAATGTTTATTTTAACAACTACCAACATATATTTTTGAGCAAGATTTTTTTATTGACCTAGAGGAATATGGCTTTTGTCACTATTATGACTTTAAGCAATATATATGGTAACAATTCAGCAAAACAATTTAGTTATTTTTATAGCATATTAAGACAACAACCACAACTGACTATATAGTATTAGGACTTTGTTTTTTTTTGGTACTGGGGATCGAACTCAGGTCCTTGTGCTTGCGAGGCAGGCGCCGAAACACTGAGCTAAATCCCCAGCCCAGGACATTTTTTTTTTTAATAAAGGAAAATCACATACTAGTGATTATGTAGCAAGAATTGTAAAATAAAAATTTAAACTGATATTTAAGGAACATGAACTTTTTGATTTATTTTTTTAAACATTCAATTTTAACAAGATAATAGAGAACACAAGAAACTACTTTCACAAATAATTTTAAAGTACTTTAAAAAAACTTTAATTTTAAATTTTATTAAGAACAGACCAATATCTTAAGCTTTATTCTTTTAAACAAACGGCATTATCTTTGTGTATTATACTATAAAGATATTTTTAGAATAAACTGTCTCAAAATATTTTATTCAAAAGTTATACTGTTAACATATATGATCAATTTATAACAGAAACATAACTTTTATGTTTTTATACAATTATTCCACCCTTAATAGAGCATTGGTATTTTAAAATTATTAACTCATATTTATGTCTTAAACTGTCATATATTGATATAAGCACTGTATATCTAAAAAAGAACATACATCTGTCACATATTTGAAATTGGAAACACCCCAAATCATTGTTTTTGAGTCTTATAAGGATTATCAGTAAAAACAAAGTGATTTAAAAGTAAAAACTCATTTTAAGTACTTAATTTAAACAAAAACTAGACAGTGAAATAATCACAGTTTATTTATTGTAGAGAAGCAAGCAAACCTTTTAGTGTCTCTTAAAACTGTTAGAATTAGGCAGCATAAAGAAACCCATTAACAGACCAACAGACCAGGTTTCTTACAGCTATGAACTCTTTATGACAAAAGATTTTTTTTATTAAAATAAAATGTTAGGGGCCAGGAATTTAGCTCATTGGCACCACACCTACCTCGCAAGTACAAGGTCCTGAGTTTGATCCTTAGTACCAAAAAAAAAAAGGGGGGGGGACTGTTATTAGAATATTAAATAAGTTGTGCTTGTACAAATAATTAAGTAATCTTAATATGATGAACAGATCAATTGCTTTGAGACTTATTTTTTAAACCTCAGTTTTACTAGTTGACCTATAACTTGACAAAAGGCTATTTTTAGATATTAGATCTTATATTAGTGATGTATGTATGATACATCTCAACAACCTTTGAAATATGTTTAAATATATCATTTATAAATGTTAATTTATATTTAGCAAATGTGTTTAGTGTTTTAACTAAATTGTAAATAATGTAGAGGTTATATTTATTTATTTAATTTTTAACAATTATATTGTCTGTAAAATGTAAAACATTTGGCAAATACAAATTATATCTTAATCTTTTTGTTGAGGAAAAAAATTTAAAAGTCGCCAATGTCTCCAAATTCCATTTGCATGCACTATAACAAAATATTATTTAAATCTTTTGAAGGATCTTTTAGGGCTTTTGAACTTGAGTCTTTGTATTGACTGCACAAATAATTTATATAACCAAAATTTTATGTCAGTACAAGCAAACTATTTTGGATAATAAAGATGCCCATAAATGGATCCACTTGAAAGCCTATGAAAGAAAATCTTTATTAATTAAGGACATTGAGAATGGAATAGCTCAGAAAATCTAGAAAGATCTAAGAACTGTATGAAGTTGTATTATTGTCATGTTTTTAGTAGTCTTAAACAATATTTAATCTTTAATTTGCATATCTGAAGGTGGGATTGAGGTTGTAGCCAGGTGGGAAATACAACTGAATTTGAATTTTTTGAAGCTTTTATTCTTTCCCTTAACTTATTGTAGATCATAGTTAAAGAGATTTTTTTTTTTTTATTGAGTTTATTGGTACATTTAGGGATACAGTACAGTTACATTCATTGTTGGGATCATGTACCTTTACATGGCAAGTCTTGATTCTCATTTTTTTCCCCTTACCTCTGCCCTCCCTTCACCCCCTCCTCCCCTCCCCATCTACAAACACTTTATTTTCATCTTTTCATTCTCTCACATTTTTTTCTTTTCCCTTTTTGTTCTTCCCCTACGTATCACACCTTCCCTACACCTTTAGCTCCTTTCCTCCCATTTCTAAATGTCAGTAATCTTATTAGAATCTTATGCATTGTTGCAGAATATTCACACCAGGGAAACTATTTGGTATTTACACATGTGGGACTTATTTATTTCACTTAGGAGTATATCTTCAATATGTATCCATTTTCCTATGAATGAATCTATTCTCTCGCTCTTTATGGCTGAGTAATATTCCATTTTATAGAAAAACCACAACTTCTTTATCCAGTTTCCAACGGATGGGCAAATAGGTTGTTTCCAAGATTTAGCTATTACAAACTGTGCCGCTATAAACATGGGTGCACATACTTCTCTGTGATATGATTCTTTTAGTTCTCTTGGAAAGATACCCAACAGAGGGATGGCTGGGTCAAATGGAACCTCCAGTCCAAGCTCTTTGAGGTATCTCCATATTGATTTCCATAGTGGTTGCACTAGTCTGCACTCCCACCAACAATGGAGGAGGGTTCCTTTCTCCCCACAACCCCGCCAACATTTGTTATTGTGTGATTTCTTGATAGCAGCCATTCTTTGTGGGGTGAGGTGGAATCTCAGTGTTGTTTTCATCTGCATCTCTCGAATGACCAGTGATGTGGAACATTTTTTCATATATTTTCTTGCTGCTTTCACTTCTTTGTATGAGAAATGTCTGTTCATTTCGGATGCCCATTTTTGGATCGGGTCTTTATATTTGGGGGGACTGATTGTTTTGAGTTCTTTATATATCCTTGATAATAGTCCTTTGTCTGAGGTACAGCTGGTAAAAATTTTTTCCCACATTGTAGATTGTCTCTTAGTTCTGCTAATGGTTTCTTTTGAAGTACAGAAGCTTTTTAGTAAGATGAGATCCCAGTTGTTGATTCTTTCTGCTAGTTCCCGTGCTACTGAGGATTTGTTCATAAAGTCTTTTCCTATACCAATGTCTTCCAGAGTTCTGCCTAACTTACTTTCCAGCAAGTTTAATGTTTCTGTTTTAATATTTAGATCTTTAATCCATTTGGATTTTAATTTAGTGCATGGCGAAAGATAAGGGTCTAATTTTAATCTGTGACAGGTTGATATCCAGTTTTTCCAACACCATTTATTAAAGAGGCTATCTTTCCTCCACTGAGGATGGTGAGCTCCTTTGTCGAAGATGAGGTAGCTGAGTACATCTGCATTTGTTTTTGTGTCTTCCAGTCTGTTCCATTGATCCTCAGGCCTATTTCTTTGCCAGTACCATGCTGATTTTATCACAGTGGCTTTGTAGTATAGTTTCAAATTGGGAATTGTTACACCTGGTGCCATGTGACTGTTGCCTATAATGGCTTTTGCTATTCTAGGTCTCTTGTGGTTCCAAATGAATTTTTGGATTCTTTTTTCTAGTTCTGTGAAATATAGTGTTGGAATTTCAATTGGCATTGCATTGAATGTATATAGCAGTTTCGGTAGTATGGCCATTTTCACTATGTTGATTCTTCCTACCCAGGAGCAGGGGATATCTTTCCATTTTTTTATATCCTCTTCGATTTCTTTTTTCAGAGTGCTGTAGTTTTCAGTGTAGAGATCTTTTGTTTCTTTTGTTAGATTGATTCCTAGATACTTCATTTTTTTGGATGCTATTGTAAAAGGAATTTTTTCCCTTATTTCTCTTTCTGTCTGTCTGTTATTTGTGTATAGAAAGGCTATTGATTTTTGGGTATTCACCTTGTATCCAGATACTTTACTGAATCTGTCAATTAAGTCTAGAAGTTTTTTGGTGGAGTTTTTTGGATCTTCAATGTAGAGTATCATATCATCAGCAAATAATGATAGTTTAACTTCTTCCTTTCCTATCTTTATTGCTTTAATTTCTTTCTCTTGTCTAATTGCTGTGGCTAATGTTTCCAGAACTATATTGAAGAGAAGTGGCGATAGTGGGCATCCTTGTCTTGTTCCTGATTTTAACATGAAGGTTTTCAGTTTTTGGCCATTCAATATGATGTTGGCTGATGGTTTTTCATAAATAGCCTTTATTAAATTGAGGTATAGACCATCTATTCCAATTTTTTGCAGGGTTTTTATCATGAATGGGTGTTGAATTTTATCAAATGCTTTTTCTGCATCTATTGAGAGGATCATATGGTTTTTGTCCTTGACTTTGTTAATATAATGTATTACATTCACTGACTTTCGTATGTTGAACCACCCTTGCATCTCTGGAATAAATCCGACTTGGTCATGATGGATGATCTTCTTAATAATCCTCTGTATTCTGTTTGCTAGTATCTTATTAAGGATTTTTGCATCTATATTCATTAAGGAGATTGGTCTGTAGTTCTCCTTTTTGGTTGTATCTTTCTCTGGTTTGGGAATCAGAGTGATACTTGCTTCCAGGAATGAATTTGGAAGTATAGCTTCTCTTTCAATTTCATTGAAAAGTTTGAAGAGTAATGGTAGTAGTTCTTCTCTAAATGTCTTGTAAAATTCAGCAGTGAATCCATCAGGGCCTGGGCTTTTCTTTGTTGGTAAGTTTTTAATTACATTTTCAATTTCACTGATTGTGATTGGGGTGTTTAAAATGTTTTTATCTTCTTCGTTCAACTTTGGTAATTCATAAGTATCTAGAAATCTGTCCATTTCTTCTGTGTTTTCCATTTTATTAGAGTACAGGTTCTCAAAGTAGGTGTTCATGATCCTCTGGATTTCTTTCGGATCTGTTGTGACTTCGCCTTTTTCATTCCTAATTGCATGGATCTGAGCCTTTTCTTTCCTTTTTTTGATAAGATTAGCTAAGGGTTTGTCAATTTTATTTATTCTTTCAAAAAACCAGCTCTTTGTTTCATTTATTTTTTGTATCGTTTTCTTAATTTCAATTGCATTGATTTCTGCTCGGATCTTTATAATTTCCTCTCTTGTTCGAGCTTTGGGTTTTTCTTGCTCTTGTTTTTCTAGGAGTCTAAGTTTCATCGTTAAGTTGTTTATTTGAGCCCGCTCTGTTTTCCTAGTGTGGGCATTCAATGTTATGAATTTTCCACGTAGAACTGCTTTCATTGTGTCCCAAAGATTCCTGTATGTTGTATTGGCATTCTCATTTATTTGTAAAAACTGTCTAATTTCTTCTTTAATTTCCTCTGTAATCCATTGATTGTTTAGGAGAGTGTTGTTCAGTTTCCATGTGCTTGTGAAGTTTCTATAGTTTCTTGTGCTATTGATGTCTAGTTTGATTGCACTATGATCTGATAATAAACAGGGGATGACTTCAATTTTTTTGCATTTATTTAGACCTGTTTTGTGAGCCAGTATGTGGTCTATTTTGGAGAATGATCCATGTGCAGCCGAAAAGAATGTATATTCTGGTTTTTGGGGGTGGAATACTCTATAAACATCTATTAAGTCCATGTGTTCCAAAGCTTGGTTCAGTTCTATTATTTCATTGTTGATTTTCTGCCTAGTAGATCTGTCAATTTGTGATAGTGGGGTATTTAAATCCCCCACTACAATTGTATTAGTGCTTATTTGGTTTTTCATGTTACTTAATATTTGTTTTATATAGTTGGGGGCATTTATATTTGGTGCATATATGTTTATGATTGTCAGCTCTTCCTCTTGAATTGTTCCCTTTACAAGGATGTAGTGTCCTTCTTTGTCTCTCTTAATGAGTTTTGGTTTGAAATTTACTTTATCTGAGAATAAGATTGCTACCCCTGCTTTTTTCTGGACTCCTGACGCATGGAGAATTGTTTTCCATCCTTTCACTTTCAGTCTATGGACTTCCTTTTGCACTAGGTGTGTTTCTTGTATACAACATATTGTTGGATTTTGCTTCTTAATCCATTCTGCCAATCTGTTTCTCTTGATTGGTGAATTGAGGCCATTAACATTGATGGTTACAACTGATATATTTTGACTTATTCTTGTCATGTTTTTGTCCATTTGTTGACTCTTTTTACTTTTTCTCCCATCTCCTTTTAGTTTCTTGCCTTGCCTATTTGATTTGGTCTGTTGGGCCTCATGTTATTGTGAATTTCGTTGTCCTTTTCTAGGATATTGTTTAGAATTCCTTGCAGTGCTGGTTTGGTGTTCATGAAATTTCTCAGGTGCTCTTTGTCGTGGAAGTATTTTATTTCCCCATCTATTTTGAAAGAGAGTTTTGCAGGATACAAAAGTCTAGGTTGGAGATTCTTTTCTTTTAGGACTTGGAATACCTCACTCCAGGCTCTCCTTGACCTAAGGGTTTGTGTTGAAAAGTCTGCTGTGATTCTAATGGGCTTCCCTTTGCATGTGATTTGTTTCTTTTCTCTTACTGCTTGTAGTATTTTGTAAAGAGATTTTTAATGAGCTAAAATTTTAGATATAGATGATCAAATTTATATCTTACCTAACGTGAAAAATGAACCAGTTTAGAAACAATATTCCCCACAAAGAAAAACATGTAGGCTAAAACATCTATGTCTTAGCTAATCTTATTTTAATGAAACTTGTTAAGGACAGCTGTATTAAATTAGAGTGTGTTTTTGGTTATATAGATCATGGTGTGTCACAATAAAAATCACCTGTTTTATCTTTTATTTTATTTTACTTTTTTTGTTTTTTTGAAACAGGGTCTCACTATGTAGTTGAGGCTGACCTGGAGCTCACTATGTAGCCCAGGCTGGTCTTGAACTCACAGCAACCCTCCTGCCTCAGCCTCCCAAGTGCTGTGATTACAGGTGTGCGCCACCACGCCCAGCAAAAATCACCTGTTTTGAATCACAGGTAACTAAAATGTTTAGGGAGCTGCAAAGTAGCACAAGCACTTTCACTTTTAAGCAATTTATAAGAGTTTTAAAAACACACCTGCATTTTTTTTATTTTTAAAAGATATTCAATCTAAATTTTTTGATGACAAATACTTCAAGAGCTTAGAACTCTCTATTGGCTCACAAAGAATCCTCAGAATGACTTGAAGCCCAAATGGCTTATATAATTTTAGGTGGTACTGAAACCCTGCTGCACATTCTAAAGAGAAAGATGAATGAAACAAAAACATATTAAAGCAGACTAAAACAAAGGAGTATCTGAAACCAAACCAAACCAAAACAAATGCTGTAATTTTTTTTCTTTTCTTTTTCTTTTGTTTTCTTTTCGTTTTTTTTTTTGTACCAGGGATCAAACTTGGACCTTCACAAGGCAGGCAGTGGAACCACTGAGCCAAATCCCATCCTTAATTTTTTAAAACCTCTGAATCTCTTTCAACAATCAGTGCCCTAAATCGGCCACCAATAGGTCTGAATGGCCCCAAATAGTGAAGGTCCTTACCTCTCCCAAATGGCACTGGTAAATGACCTAAGACAGGTCCAAATTGTGGAGATAGTAATCCCCACAGTGCCCTTCCAGTGGGAAACCAGGCAGAGCCCATCAGCTCCAGATCAGATGGAACATACTGGAGACTTCCAAACCTTTTTACTTTAGCCAACAAAAGCATTTATAGGTAGATGATGCCACATGTGGGAAAAAAGGGAGAATTTCCAGGATTTAAAAGTGTCCCTGGCAGCTCACTAGCCATGGGCAGGCAGTCCCTTTTCCCAAATGATTTTTAGGATGCATGGATCTTAGGAGCAGGAAGTAAAGTGAATCCCTTCCTGGTCAACAAAACTGTTACCATCCACATAGGCTCATAGGCTCAGGCTTGTCTGCTCGCCACTGACCAACTAAAAGAGGGCATGTGTTTTGGTAAAAAGGATTTATTTAAAGCTCCAGCGAGGTGGAGGGGCCCATTAGCCTCAAATTAGCACCTCTCTATATATGGGTGGGCAAGAGTCTTTTATAGTAAGGAACAGGGTGCTCACAGAGAGAGAGAGAATACAGATCTTTATACTCGCTTTTATCACTTTCAGCTGTATTTTTTAGCTTTTTTTTTTTAAATGAAACCAGGCATCTGGCCTATTGGGGCTATTGTAGAATAGGTAAATTAATTAGATATCTTGTAGGGAGTTAGACAGGACTGGCCCTTGAGAACCCAACATGGAGGACAGTCAAAGACCCAACATGGAGGACAATCAAGACACTGATGACCCCCAGCATCGTAAAAGGAGAGAAACAACTATAGAAAACTAGGATAAATAACAGTGATTGATATTCTAAATAGGTATCAGTCACCTGGGTGGGGGACAAAGATCTTTCAGGAAAAATCCCTAAGCCACCCCTTATGGCAAATTCTTGCTTAGTTCCTTGTACACTTGTTCTATGACTTGCTTCCCCATTGCATTCTCATTTAATCAATATTCCCTAAGTGACTACACTTGTAATCTTATTGGTTGATCATAGTTTTGTCCACCTTGTGATTTCTCACTGGATCAGTATTACCTATGCAACTGTAGTTGCAATCTTACTAGTTGACTATAATTTTGACCCACCTTGAACTCACCTCACCTCATATAGCCTCGGCTCATAAAACACATTTGAGGAGCAGGCTGGAGGCAAGGCAAGGGCCTGACTTATTGTATTGCACAGTAATAGTCCCTTGTCCTGAATGGCTGCTATGGGTCCACAAATCCCATTTTTTTCCCAGCTGTCTGCTCAGAGTTCTGTCATCCTGTCAAATTTCAGGACATTCTGCTGAATTGAAGGAGGGTGGAGCAGCAGAGGGCGGTACAGGCCCATGGACACCACTTTGAACTCTACTCCAACTGCCTCATCTTCCCTTTGACCTGGACATGGAGTCTCTGAGTCAAGGCCACTCAGGTGAGTGGATGCTGGTTTATGTGGCCCCAGTACCATGTATGCCTGAACCCTCGTCCCTATGGAATCCATGACCCCTGCACAGCTCCCTGCTCGATTCCTGGATTTGTTAATTCCAGTGAAAATTATATGAGGCCTCCTCACCCAGGGATTCTTTCTCTGGGTCTCCTCAGGCAATCCCTCAATCCCCACTGGCCTTGTGGATTCTCACCCTTTACTCACTCTCCTGCTGCTCAAGGTAGCTGTGGGTTCTCTAGAACACAGTTCTTCCCTAAGCCCTCTCCATCTCTTTGTCCTTTCCCATTCCTATCATTGTTAGGGCAAACTGAGGCATGACTGAGACCACCAGAGCAGGCAAAAATAAAGGAACAAGCAAGGTTTTATTTATTAATCAAGCTTTACTGGGTACAGGCCAGTCAAAGGTGACAAAGCCATTGATCCTGGGGTCTTGGGAAAGGGGAGATTTTATAGAGGAGTTTGGGTAGGGGAGGGCTAGTGCCAGTAGGAGTGGGACATTTTGTCCTGGAGTGGAGGAAGTCTGGTGGTCACCAAGGGTGTCTGGATCCATTGATGTTTCTGTGTGGGTAGGCTGCTTGTCTTGAACCTGTGCCTTGGCTTTGTGTTAGCCGTTATGCCTTGCAGGATGTGTTGCCTGCAAAGGTTTTCTCTTCTGCCTAGGCAGGGGTCTGGCACCATAGGATGTCCCCCCACACCCTTAGGGAAATAACCTGGGACATGTATTCATGTGTTCATATCCCATCTTACTGACCATAACTGCTAGTGTGTTTGCCCCTGGTGCTCCACTGGGAGGCGAGTTATTCTAGCAGTGGCATGTTTATTCCATCCTTGTGTATCTAGAGGTTGGGGAGGAACAGTTGAGGAGAAGAGACCAAGACAGAAAGCAGGAGAGTGAAGGAGAGGGCAGTAGAAGATACATAATGACACAGGATCTTCTGACTGGGAAAGAATACAAATGAGACCCATCAATCAAAATATATGGTGCCAGTGTGGAATGGGGTGTAATTTGAAGTCTACTGTGTTACCTGGCTCTTTGTCTTCTTTGTAAAGATGGTGTGCTACCAGAGAGGGAGATAGATTTAACTTGATGGACAGAAAATCTCTTAGCTAGAGATGAACATCTCTACATAATGTGCTTCTGGAGGTGGAATGGGTCAGGCTCAGCCTCTCTTATACAGGCTAGGTCCTGTTGTACCTTGGATGCTGTCACTCTGGGGCTGTCGGGTGGAATAGCTTCAGGCTGTATCACTTCTGAATCAGGTGGGTCCTGGTGATCTTGGAAACAGGGTCTGCTACCACACTGGGAGGTGATTGTATCTCAGTGGAAGGATAATCAGAGGCTGGAGATCTACAGCAGCAGGAAGTTGTGCTGACAGGATAGGAATGGGGTGAGATTCTCTCTCTGCTGAATCCAACCACTGCTGGCCACCTTTTATGGAACATCTGCTAACAGCTGAGGAGGTTATTCTCAGTGGGTGAGAATCTAGTAGTCAGAGATCCCTCCTAGTGGGGCTCAGCCATGACCATTCCACCCTGCCCTCAGACACCTACCCCAGGCCTACTCATCCTAGGGCTTGGCCTCACTGGTCACTAGGTTCTTTAGCTGGGTCAGGAATTTATACATCTGTGGAAAAGTCTGAGCCTAACATGCTGATCAGCATATAGGACATAGCTGGTTAGTCTGGCCAGGTCTGGGGATAGGTAAACTTCTTCTGGGTAGCGACCACCCCACATGCAGCTGGGCACTGAGAGCAAATGCATGAAGCTCATGTGAGGAGTGTGCTCCCCACACTAATTATAAAGCCTTCATACAGAATCATGAGGACATGTCTGACAGGGATGGTCTGTGATGGGGATCTATCTTTATAAGATCTTCCTCTAAGCCCCTAGCCACCCCTGTGCTCCAATGTTGCCTATATTCCCCTTTCTGCAGGCAAGGCCCTAACCCCCATCCCTCTACTAGCAATCAACAACTGTTGGGATTTGGGATTTCCTAGATCCCCTCAAACTCAGTTCTTCAGATGTGCCCCACTCTGTAGATAGGGGCCTTCGCTCTCGGCCCTGAGCATATCACTTCTTGATAGACTAATCCTCCTCAGAGTTGAGGCGATTCCACACCTAGAGAAGGTCAGGGGAGGGTGGCCTCTTCGCATCCTTACCTGCCAGGCAGTCTAGGGGAGCTGTCTCCTTCCATGATGAGAATGGAAGCAGGGGAAGGCTGAGAGGTTTGTATGTGTTTCTCCCTGAATAAGATGTTAACTGGAAACGCGCCAGCAGCTGATAGGTGTTTCATATTAGTGTGCTCAGTGAATGAACTCTGCCATGTACTACCCAGATATCTCAGTGGGTCCTGGTCCACTCACTCTACGCTGAGGGGGATCCCAAGTCTATAGTATTAATTTTAGTCCCACTGTATTGGAAGTTGAGAATAATGTTTAAGGTTAAGGTTATGGTTAGATTTGGTGACAGGGATATGGCTGGAATTCAAGTACCTAATGATCTGAGTGTGAGAATGAAGGTTAGGGCAATGGTTTTCACAAGGATGAGGTATTTCATTGGATTCCATGTACCTGAGCATTGCAGTGTAGCTATGATGGGTACTGTTAGGGGTAGCATTAGGGATTGGATTAGGCTGTAGGGTTAGGAATCGTGTTGGAATTTCACTACTTATATACTGAAGTGTGGGTTTGATGGTTAGTGTTGGTGTTAATTTGAGGATTAGGTTTAGGAGTGCTGTCATGATGCAGGTACATGGGTTAGTGTTAGGGTTAGGCTTGAGGGTGGGTTGGGTTAGGGCTAAGTTTCTAGGGTAGTGTTACGGTTCGATTTTGGTTTCAGCATTAGGGTTATGGTTAGAGTTAGTATTTAGGTGTTAGAGTTAGAGTTAGGGTTAGCATTTAGGGAGGGTTATTTTTAGGGTTCAGAGTTTGGAATAGGGTTCGTTTTAGGGTTAGGTTTGGCCATAGAAATATTGATGAAGTTCAAGTACCCAGTCATTGCTGTTTGAGTGCAAAGCGTAGGGCAAGGATGTTCATGAGGCTGAGGCACAGTGTTGGATTCCAACTACCTGAACATTACAGGTACACATAATGGGTAGGGTTTGGGTTGAAGTTAGAGTTAGGGTTAGGTTTAGGGTTAGGAATAGAGGCCGAATGTCACTTCCCATGAAATGAGGTATGGATTTAATGGTTAGTTTTCGTGTTAATTTCAGGATTACTGTTAGGAATATTTTAGGAATGTAAGTACCTGAGTTATGGCTCCTGGTGGGATTAGGGTTTAGGTTAGGTTTGGGGTCGGTGATAAGTGTTGAAATTTCAGTACCTGTGTTTTTGAGTTATGGGTTTCTTTGTTAGTATTAGAATTAGATTTGTCCTCAGGCTCAGGAATAGTGTAGGATTTTAAGTTCTGCTATTTTGGAACATGAGAATAATATTTACGATTTTGGTTAAGGATAGGATTGGTAACAAGGATATGGAAATAATTCAAGAACCTGATAATTTGAGTGTGAGAATGAAGATTACTACAAGGATTTTTATTAGGGGACTGTATAGTGTGCACAGGATTCCAAGTACTAGAGCATAGCATTGTAGCTATGATGTGTCGTCTTTAGGTTGAGGCTAGGGTTAGTAGCAGGTTTTGAGTTAGGAATAGAGGCCTAATTTCACTTCCTATGTACTGAAGTATGGGTTGGATAATTACTGTTAGTATTAATTTTAGGGTCATTATTAGAAATGGTTTAGAAATGTAATAACCTGGGTTAGGGCTCTATGTACGGTTAGGATTGGGGTCAGCGATAGTCTTGGAATTTCACTACATGTGTATTGGAGTGTGGGTTTCATAGTTAATAACAGCATTAGATTTGGCATCAGGGTTAGGAACGGTGTAAGATTTCAAGTACCATTGTATTGGAACTTGGGAATAATATTTAAGGTAAGGGATAAGGTTAGGTTTTGTGACAGAGATATGTAAGGAATTCAAGGACCTGATAATTTGAGTGTGAGAATGAAGGTTAGCGAAAGGAGTTTTATGAAGGTGAGGTATAGTGAGGAATTCCAGGTACCTGAGCATTGCAGTGCAACTATGATGCATAGTTTGGGTCCAGGTTAGGGTTAGGATTACATTTAGTGTTAGAAATAGAGTTTGAATTTTGAACCTATGTACTGAAGTATGGGTTTGATGGTTAGGGTTAGTATTAATTTTGGTATTGTTTGGAATGGTTTAGGAATGTAAGTACCTGTCTTAGGCCTCATTGGATGGTTATGGTTAACATTAGGTTTAGGATCAGAGATAGTATTGAAATTTCAGTACCTGTGTATTGCAGTGTGCTTTTCATAGTTAGTATCAGCATGAGAATTGACCTCAGGGTTAGGAATAGTGTAGGATTTCAAGTAACATTGTATTGAGACTTGGGAATAATATTTAGAATTAGGGTTAGGTTAGTGTTAGGGATATGGATGGAATTCAAACACTTGATAATTTGAGTGTGTGATAATGAATTTTAGGGCAAGGATTTTTATGAAGGTGAAGTATCATGTGGGATTCCAGGTACCAGAGCATTGCAGTGTAGCTATAATGTGTACTATTAGGTTTAGAATTAAGACTTGGTTTAGGCTTTGGGTTAGGATTCGTGTCGGAATTTCACTAACTGTTCACTTGAATGTAGGTTTAATTGTTAGTGCTAATGTTAATTTGAAAATTAGGCTTAGGAATGGTGTCAGGATGCAGGTACATATGGATTGGGGTTAGGGTTAGAGTTGGGCTTGTCCTTAGATTCGGTTGGGTGATGTTTAAGTTTCTAGGGTAGTGTTCCAGTTACATTTTTGGGTTAGGCATTAGGTTCAGAGTTAGGATTTATGGATTATAGTCAGGATTAGGGTTAGCATTTAGGTTTGTTTTCGGGTTAGGCTTCACAGTTTAGGGTAGAGTTGGTGTCACAGTTAGGTTTGGCCTTAGAAATATTGATGGAGTTCAAGTACCCTATCATT